GGGACAGCTTACACCACCTCTAGGGAAAGCAGACATTCAACTAGTATTTAGTTTTTACTGAGTATCACAAAAAGAACATCTTAACTGCTAATGGACCAAACATAATTAATTTTGTTAATTCTTTGATTCTTGCAAAAGTGCCGTATTTCAAACCTTTTGTATTACTTAATTACTAAAAAACACCTTTTCTGAACAGTAAAGTTCCACTGTGCAGAGCTTTTGCAGATATAAGCATTGCATGGCAGTTGCGGTGCAGCAAAATCTGCCCTGTCATGTGGTGAAAAGGTTAAACAGAGCTTTCTGCAAATACGTCCAACATTGCATTTTGTTACTCAGGCAGGGCTTTAGTGGTCATCATCCTGAATTATTAAAATTTCTCTCGAGGAAGAGAGGAGGGGAATCAGCAGCTCTTTTTCTCTTCTTTGAATCCACAAGTCTAATGTAGTAATTGAGATGATTTTGATGGATTTATGTGTAATTGTTGAGTGAAGATTTTGAAAGGAATATGTTTAATTTTATAAGGTTAACACCAAAATTGTACTCATATGGAGCTCTGAGGTTACTTTCTAATGTAAATGGCATGCTGTTAACTTACTGATTTAAAGCTGAGCCAAAGAACTTTCTCTAATGTCTTGTATTAGATCCAGATACATTCCACATAAACATTTGTGTTAAAAATATGCCATCATTCTGTTGAATAAAACAGAGACACTTAACCTCTGTGACCTCTATGTCCATCTGTGGTAAAATACACACCGTAAAAATAAATTTTACTTGACCTCAGCTTCTATGTCCTTGTTTTTTATTTTGCTCTGATTTGCACCAATAAGGCTGCTCTCTACATGTTTAGGAGTAGATAACACAAAAAGGAGTGCAGTGAAATATTGAAATATAATGATTTTTCTGGAGCATAGCTAATTGGTCACGTGGCTATGACAACCATCACTCAGTAACCCTGAGTAATGTGCTGAAAAATGAAACATTTTATTATAGATTCAAATGTATTCAGTGACAAACTCTATTCTAAAAAAGTTGGAACAGTAGGGAAAATGAAAATAATAACACAGAGCGATTATAAATCTATTTTAAGCTGCATTTCACACAAGTCTGTGGCTCATTCTGATATTAATAAATGCAACATCTTACAAAAAATGTGGAACAGGGACCATGTAAAAACATTGTAAAATGTTCAAAAACCATTAAAAAATTTCTTAGATATAAAAGGAGCATCCAGTAAAGGTCAAGTGCTTTATCAGCAATTTGAGGCTTGCCACTTTGCCAAAATACATCAGCAAGAAATCCAACATGTTAAAAAGTATCATTCCCTCTTCAAAATATTGCAAGAATTTTAGGTATTTCACCCTCAACAGTGTTTAACATCATCAAAAAATTCAAGGAATCAGGAGAATCATGGCCGAAAGCTACAAATAAATGCCTTTGACCTTTGACCTTTCAGATGACACTATGTTAAAAACTAGCTTGTGATGGATATCACCCAATTTGCTTGGGAATACTTTGACAAACTCAATAAACACCATCTGTACTGTATCCATGTATGTGTATTTACATTACACAGAGAACGTCATACGTCACTTGTGTTCAGAAACACCGCTGACTTCTCTGGGTCTGAGCTTATCTGAAATGGACTGATGCACAATAGAAACATGCATTGTGGTCTGATGAGTCAACCTTTCAGAGTATTTATGGAAATAACTGACTTTGTGTTCCCTGAAACAAAAAAGTAAAGGACCATCCTGATTGCTAGCAGCAGAATGTTCAAAAACTAGGGCCTGTCATGGTATGAGAGGATATTCTTTGGTATCCTGCACATCTGTGTACACATTTTGAAGAAAAAAATGCTGCCATTTGTGTACCCATGTGTATTTCAACATGACAAAACCAAGCCACATTCTGCTTGACTTACAACAGCATGGTTACATAATCAGATAAAGCGGGCACTAGACTGGCCGGCCTGCAGTCCAGAACTCTCAATACTCTCCAATTTAAAAAATGTATGTATTATTAAGCTCAAAATATGACATCAAAAACCCCAATATGGTTGGACAGCTGAAGATTTGTATAACAGAAGAATGGCAAAAAAAAAAATATGCTTTCAAAAATAGATCAGTTTGTGTCTTCAGTCCCCAAATGATTATTAGATTATTAAGGAAAGATGATGTAACACAGTAAACATGCTCCCAATGTTTTTTTTGCAACATGGTGCAATTACAATTACAAAAACAATTAATTTCATTTATGATGATCTCCAGTATGCCAAGTTCTCATGATATCTAATGTTTTATGTGACAATATTACAACACAATATTATTAGCAGAAACACTGTTATATATTTATTGCTTATACATGTGCAGCGTAGACACAAATTCAGTACACATTACAATGGCAATTTCTATTACTCTGTCACTGAAATTATCATTTTGATCTGCAAGGAGCTAAAAGCTATTTGTTATGGAAATTGTATTAATTCAATGTATTTGCTTTATTGCTTGCAGACTGTAAGACTACAGGCAATGTTCATGGACAAAACATCCTGTCCTCTGACTGATAGAAGTGCTTAGCTGCCCCGATACAAACAACAGGAAGTATCCTCATACAGCAACTGACCTCGGTCACCTGTCCTACACCTTCCGGTACTTCTGCCTTCATAAGGTATTCTAGTCAGGTACTCACAACCTTCTATGCCTATATTAACAGAAATCTGCCAAAGACTGATAACAGCAGCTGTCAAATCCTTTTCTTATTTGATATCTAGCCAATGCCTAGTTTGGGGTATAAGACCCCAATCTAAGGGAGACCGCCTCAGAGCGTGCTCTCATAACTTCACTCTCTGGTCTGTATCACTTTATTTCTTAAATTACCTGGTCCCAGTTTATACTGGCTCTAATAACTGTGTAATTACACATTCATAATACATGCAAAAACAATGTAACTACGAGCAATATATCCCCTGTTACAGACAAATTATTTTAGTACAGATGATGCAAGTACATATGTATTGTCAATTACAAAAATGTATGTTTCATAACTAAAACAGCATATTTTCTTTTATGTAATTACACATAATAGAGGGAGTGATTTTATGAACTGTTGTTCTTCCAGCGGGACTTTTTTGATTGTAACAGGTGTGTAATTACTTATATTATAAAAGTACGTAAACTGCATCTGCATAGGAATTACAAAATTCAGCTAGCTGTAGTAACAACACAAATATTACGTAAGTTACAGTTTGTAAGTGGACAGTTCATATAGGTACATTGAAATTACAGACTGGTAAACCAGAGACTGCTTTTAAGTTAGCATTATACAGCACATACATTTTAATGAACTGCATGAATTTATTTTTAACATTTTGTTCCTATATAAATACCATCACACTGCAGAATAGATTAAAGCCAGAACTTTGGTTAGACCGTAGGAATTCTACTACAGCTGTTAAGAACATTGCTGTTTCCTGTATAGTTGTAGTGTTACTATTAGAGAAGTCTTTTTTATCGAAAAAACAGCTGTTTCTCTCACACATGCAATTACATGACAGAAAATATTCTGTTACAGCTATCAATACACACTTGTGTAACTACATGAATTAAAAACTGAAGTCCATACATGTGTATTTACCTAAGCTGTACTTCTGTAATCCATTTTGTAGTAAAGCTGTTCTTTTAGAGGGGACATTGTAGCACTAGAATTCAATAAACACCTCCTCTAGCACCCCAACTTGAAGCATAAACACAATTTTTTATGCTTGTTACAAAGAAAACGACCATAATACACCAAAACTGAGGTAATACAATGGTTATTGAAATTTTTTACAGAGAGAATACTCACATTTGTGGGTTTCTTTGGTCGCTCGTGCAGCCATCTTGCCGGTTTTTCTTTTTTTCTCATAACACTCTGTTTGGAGCCTCTGAAAAACCTCCGTTTGAAGGACCATGTAGCCCTAACACTTTACCTCCATCTCAACAAAAATTGGGACAACCGAAACCTAGATGTGAACGTGCAAAACAGAGGGCTAAGGGCTAAGTGGTAGGGGCAAGGGGTGAAATGGGATTGGGTCTAAGAGTGAGCTGTGTTAATATGGGATGAAAAAATATGCCACTCTGCTGATGTTTACTTGGCCAAAGATTTCTGGTAACTGTACCTGTTGCAGCTCGTTGACCTTATCCTGGAGTTTTAGGCCAGGACCTTCCAGTGACTGTAGATCTTCTGTGTACTCTTTAAAGTTGCACTTGCATGTCGTAGCAAGTATTTAAACAGTTGTATTAAATAAAATGTTATAAAGATGTTGTTGTAGTTTTACTTTTCTATTCCTCTTTATATACATTGGCTTATTATTTATTAACTTATTGTTTATGAAATTTATTACAACTGCTGATTTATTTTTAAGTTATAGAAGTGTGTAGTAAAAATGTATACTTCCAGTCAGTGTTGAGGACTTACACACAGCCACTGAGAATTTAAGTCTAGGCTAAAACCTACTTGTTTAGTCAGGCCTTTGGTAATTAGTTTTTCCTGTTAGCTGAGGGGTGTAAACCTCATCTGCATCCCACTGACCCTCCTGATGATACTGCTGCATTTTTTAATCATAGTGATGTATATACTGATGGTCATACCTTATTGTCTGCTGTTATTATGTTGCTGTCTGGTGTCGACCAGAAGAGGATAGGTTCCCCTTTTGAGCTCTTAGAGAGGTTTTCCTTGCCACTGTTGCCACTGGCCTGCTCATGGGGGCTCGGACACAGATTTTTTTTTTCTGTTAAACTGCTTTGTGGCAATAGCTGTTGTAAAAAGCACTATATAAATAAACTTAACTTGACTTGATTTGGTCAAGCTAGGGCATTTATGGGGCCCAGGGTCAAGTTAATCTACCCCTACATAGCGTGCATCTAGCTTCATGCTTACTGAGGCTCATTTCTCAACTAAGGGCTGTGTGGTTTTGAACTTGTTAAATGCTTAGAACTAAACTGAGAACAGAGAGGAACAGAATGTGAAGAAATTTTCATGGTAGACAAAGTCTGTCACTCGTCGTAAGCGACGAAACCATCAGCTCTGCAGCTCTGAACTGAAGCAGCAATTGACAAGTGAGTATTTTTGATTCAAATACAAACCAGATGTCCTCTATGCTGGTTTAGTTAAAATAGGGGTTGTTAGCATACAAAATTATCCTTGTGTACCAAAACCTTTCAGAATTGTATGACACAGAATACCATAGAGATTTATGTTGTGTCTCTTTCTCGTGGAGATGGACTGGACGACATTGGCTTCTTAGTTTATCTCTGCACAGTTGAGTTTGACTTCAGTCATGAGTTCAATAGAACAAATGCCAAATTTCAGTGTTTGGTGCAGCAATGAAAAAAAAACTAAATTTAATTACTTAACTAAATTTATAACTAAAATTATATACCTGACAGGAACATGCAGTCGTATGCAAAAGCCTGGTCAAATGAAATTCTTTGTGAAAACAAGTTAACACATTGTCTACAGAGAACACACTTCTGCACATGTGAATGTGCAATTGCTGTTTATTTGTTGAAAAAAAAATTCAACCTAAAATGTGACCTTTGGAAAACTTATGGCACATTTTATATATTTTCCTATAGTAAAAATCCAGCAAAAACATAAAAATTTGAACAACAGATGCCATATTTAATTCTACTTACTATCTTACTCTCCTAAATGTACTTGCACTCACTTGCTCCTTTCTCATCAGTACTCAACAGAAATACACTTGTTTATTTGTGTGTAATGGACAGAATCAAGAGGCATCAGAAACAAAGAACGACACCATGAGTCAGACATCGAGTTCATCATCTTGCAGGGACGCAGTGTGTATTTTCTATGCAGTAGCAGAAGTGATCATCTGTGTCCTGGGTTTTGCTGGAAATGGCTTGGTGATCTGGATTACAGGATATAATGTGAAAAAGTCAGTCATCAGCATCTGGTACCTGAGTCTGGCTGTGTCTGATGTCATATTCTGCTCCACGCTGCCCGTCAGTGTCATCTATGTGGTCAATAAAGACTGGCCATTCGGGCTCTTCATGTGCAAGTTCAGGTCTTTCATTTTGTGGCTCAACATGTACAGCAGCGTCTTCCTCCTCGTCATCATCAGTGTGGACCGCTGTGTGCTTGTTATGTTTCCTGTGTGGGCTAAGAATAAGCGCACTGTAAGGAAGGCCTCTGTGATAGTTGTGCTAGCTTGGATCATTGCAGCAGCATGTAGCACACCATCGGCTGTTTTTCGAGTCATTCGTCACAAGCAGCAAACATGCATCTACAAATATAATTTTAAGAAAAATTATATTGCCACTGTAACATGCCGATTTGTTTCTTCATTCGTGATCCCATTCCTGATCATTTTCATCTGTTATGTTGTCATCATACGAAAGCTGAAGTCCAACCAGAGGGTGAAGTCCAAAAAGCCCTTTAAGATCATGACTGTGCTGATTGTTACTTTCTTGATCTGCTGGCTACCATATCACACTGTTCTTTTGATTAAATTACATGAGAAATATGATTTATTGATAACCGCCCAGCGATTTTGTTTCATTCTTGTTAGTGCCAACAGCTGTCTGAACCCATTTCTTTATGCATTCATGGGGAAAGATGTTAAGGAGCAATGTTACGCCATTCGATCAAAGATTGAGAACGCAGTCAAGGAGGAAGAGGACCAGAACACCATCCAAGAGACAGCCATTACCACCTCAGGTGAAAGTCAACATTCAACTAGTATTTAATTAGCATCAAAAAAGACATCTTAACTCCTAATTTTACACAAACAAATTGAGTGCAGTTTATTTTTTTTTAAAGTGCTTTATTTCAAACCCTTAGTTGTTACTGAATCCTCAACAAAGATTTTTTTCTGAATGTTCCACATTTCACTGGAGAGCTCTGCCAAATCTGCACACTGCATGGCAGCTGTGGTGCAGTGAAATTTGCTCTGCTATGCAGTGAAAAACAGTGTCTAGAAACACAGCTAACTTCTCTGGGCTCAAGCTCATCTGAACAGGACTAATGCTGGAAATATGCATTGTGGTCTCATGAGCCAACCTTTCAGATTGTTCATGGAAATAACTGATGTTCTGCTCCCTGAAACAAAGAAGTAAAGGACCATCCTGATTGTTAACAGCAGAAAGTTTGAAAGCTAGGCTCTGCCATGGTATTAGGGGAGATATGAGTGGTTATACTGCACATTTGTGAAATCGCCATTAATGCTGAAAGATATATACATATTTTGGAGCAATCCATGCTGCCTTTTATGCACCCATGTTTATTTCCACATGACAACAACAAATCACATTCTGCTTGTGTTACAACAGCATGACTTCCTGTTTAAGAATTTAATTTTTTACTGCAATCATAGCAATCATTAGGGCCTGGTTTTCAGAGATTTGTAAAGTGGTTTCCACAAGTCATGATCAGGCTGTATAGTTTGTTTGTTTTTTTTAATACACTGTCAATAACCTCTGGAATATGCTATACCAGAAATCTTGTAGCACAGTACAAAACAAGAATAGATTATGGAGACATGGAATCATATATTTTTACTTATGATGGCTATCTATGCAAAAAAAGTATGTCAAGCTTTCATGATATAGCATGAAACATCTAATTGTATTGAATTCATAGAGTGTTTTGTCTTGTGATCCTTGTGTAGAAAGAAAAAAAAACATTCACGTGCATATTGTGACACCACTACCAAATATTACACCAAAAACACTGTATTAATTACTATGGTAGTGTAGTAGTATATAGTTTTGGATCCACCACTACGCTCTGCATGGGGCCAAATGTTAGGCCCATGTTAGTGAGGTAATGGCACCCTCAAGGGAAGAGCAGGTGTAACTTACCTACTACATGAAAAAAGGTAGTGTATAAAGAAAACTGTATTGTGAACCCATTCTTTATGTCCGTCAACTAAATTTCATATGATTAGAAAAAATGCCATAGAACTTGTTTTGGCCTGTGATACTGGTGACAAATGATGACATTTTGTATATTTATAACTTGGATAATCCTATTTTTTTCTTTGATTGCTTTTATTCACAGTCAAGTTAGGATTTTATTAAAAATCAGTAGTACCAGGCTTGTGTTAAATATTATTTTATTTCATTTTACTTTATTTGTTCCTTATTAACTTTGTAACTTCTCTTAAATCTTTTCCCTGTTTTCTCCCTTGCCTTTTTGTATTAATCTCGTTTGCATTTTGTATGTTTCTCTTGGGTGATGTGTGGGGGCTGTGGAGAGCAGTCCTTTGTCATTTAACGACCCCCAATGGTTAGCCTATCTCACATCTGGTTATCTATAGCTCCCCAATCTAGCAATGCCGTTTGCTGATGGTGATATCTCGGACCCATCCTGGTTCCTAGGGTGGGCCTCAACATCTCTATTTTAATTACAAAGGTACAGGCAGTTGTCCATTCCGTGGGGGGTTCCGGGGGTTCGTTGAGACAAAGAGACAACTGAGGGTGTGGTTTACATTTCGTGACTATAAGTTTGTCAGTGTGTAAGCTACTTTAGACTTGTTTGGTTAGGAAGACCTGCGTTCAATAAACTTAATTTCCTCAAGTCTCCACTCCTGTTTGCTTCAAAAAACCAATGCCTGACAGCAGAAGTCAACACTTGAAAATATTAATAAATACACAAATAATAAAAAACAATTACATAAATTTGTGTCTACTCTAGTAAGTGTGTGTGTGTGTATGTGTTTGTGTGTGTGTGTATGTTTTAGAGAAGGTTGGTATTCCATGAAATATACAAAACATGCTGCAAAGCAGTCTTTCATTTCTCATTATATAGTATGCATTGACTGGACTAAACACTTGATGGTGCCCTCACGCTGCATATTGTTATGTGTTTGCCTTGCTCCAACAGCCTGCCTTATTTTATGAAAGACTTCATACTTATATAATGTGTAAAAACAGGAAAACACTAACATGTAATGTGCAGCAAGTACCCAGCATTGATATTAAGGACCTACTAAGAGAAGCCATATTAAAAATGGGGAAAGCACACAGCTGAGATCCATGTGACGAGCTCCAGGCCCTGGGGCTATAGCAGTCGGTTCGCAAGTAGTAGTCGTGCCATGGATTCATCTGAGACACTTAAAACCAAACCTTGCTCACAGCTATACTTAGCAATCACTTGATAAACTGCTGAGGTAACTTTACTCAAAGTTGAGAATTCACATTATTCTTTTTAATCTTGAAAGCTGCCTTCTTATACAAATTTTACATTCCACCCTATGTGGTGCAGCAGTAACAGACACCAGAACATAACCACTGCATCATTTTAGGTGGAACGGAAAATCTGAAGAAGTCAATTTCAGCCTTGTATTTTCTGCCAATTTTCCATGTGTTTTAATGGCAGTCCAAAACCACTGTTTGGAAAAGAATAGCAACCCTCAGAGACCCCCTGCTGCAAAACTAACCCCCTGTGCTTGATTCTGCTGACTGGGCCTGTTTACACATTGGATTAACATGTGTTCTTGGTCATTGGATCACGTTCGGATTTCACTTGATCGCGTTTAAAGCCGGATGTAAACACAAAGTGTAGGGACACATTGTGTTCAGCTTATGATCGGATCACTCAAACCACATTTGGTAGTGGTCAAAGGCGGATATTGATCCCATTTTTTACAATTGTAAATGAAATGCATTTTCATTATCCATCTACAATTAAATGAGCAAAAATGTGTCTGCTGACTGCTGACTAGTGCGGTGAAAGAATAAAAAGGAAAGACAGAGGATACACCAGGTTGGAGTTCCCAAATCAAGAGCCTTCAAAAGTAAAATGGAAATGACATATGTATTTACATGATTTTTCCATGGGAAAACTACAATCAGTTCTCATCTGGCCAAATGGGGGACGCATTTGAGTGAAAACGTGTATATGGAATCTTCTCCATCCAGGTTTATCCAGATATGTGAACATGAAACTCGTGTTATTGCAAAGTGTAAACAGGTTCACTGTGTCACTAACCCTAGTGGTCACTTTATTAGGTAGCACGAAACATTACATTTTATAATAGAATAAACTCTTCTTTAAGGATTTCTCTAAAGTCAATCTACTTGTAAAACTACTTTTTTCTGCATGTACATTAATTTTCAAAATTATATTGCTATCGTAGCATGTCGATTAATTTTTTTATTTGTGGTCCCTTTCCTGATAATTATTATCTGTTATATTGTCATCATACGAAAGCTGAAGTCCAACCAGATGGCAAGATCCAAAAAGCCATTCAAAATCATGACAGTGCTGATTGTTACCTTCTTGATCTGCTGCCTTATTTTGAGGAACTTATTCATGACATATCATTCATTGTACACTGCATATGTGTTTAGTCTTATTCTTGCCAGTGCAAACAGCTGTCTGAACCCATTTCTTTATGCATTCATGGGGAAAGATGTTAAGGAGCAATGTTATGCTCTTTGGTTGAAGATTGAGAATGCAGTCAAGGAGGAGGAGAATCAGAACACCATCCAAGGGACAGCTTACACCACCTCTGGGGAAAGCAGACATTCAACTAGCATTTAGTTTTTACTGAGTATCACAAAAAGGACATCTTAACTGCTAATGGACCAAACATAATTATTTTTTTTAATTCTTTGATTCTTGCAAAAGTGCTGTATTTCAATCCTTTTGTATTACTCAATTACTAAAAAAGTATTTTTCTGAACAGTAAAGTTCCACTGTGCAGAGCTTTTGCAGATATAAGCATTGCATGGCAGTTGCGATGCAGCAAAATCTGCCCTGTTATGTGGTGAAAAAGTTAAACAGAACTTTCGGCAAATACGTCCAACATTGCATTTTCCTACTCAGACAGGGCTTTAGTGGTCATCATCCTGAATGATTAAAACTTCTCTCGAGGAAGAGAGGAGGGGAATCAGCAGCTCTTTTTCTCTTCTTCGAATCCACAAGTCTAATGTAGTAATTGAGATGATTTTGATGGATTTATGTGTAATTGTTGAGTGAAGATTTTGAAAGGAATATGTTTAATTTCATGAAAGTTAACACCAAAATTGTACTCATATGGAGCTCTGAGGTTACTTTCTAATGTAAATGGCATGCTGTTAACTTACCGATTTAAAGCTGAGCCAAAGAACTTTCACTAATGTCTTGTATTAGATCCAGATACATTCCACATAAACATTTGTGTTAAAAATATGCAATCATTCTGTTGAATAAAACAGAGACACTTAACCTCTGTGACCTCTATGTCCATCTGTGGTAAAAATAAATTTTACTTGACCTCAGCTTCTGTGTCCTTGTTTTTTATTTTGCTCTGATTTGCACTAATAAGGCTGCTCTCTACATGTTTAGAAGCAGATAACCCAAAAAGGAGTGCAGTGAAATATTAATGATTTTTCAAATTGGTCAGGTGGCTATGACAACCATCACTGAGTAACCCTGAGTAATGTGCTGAAAAATGAAACATTTTATTATAGATTCAAATGTATTCAGTGACAAACCCTATTCCAAAAAGTTGGAACAGTAGGTAAAATGGAAATAATAACACAGAGCCATTATAAGTCTATTTAAAGCTGTATTTGAACCAAAACAGTACAAAGACATTTAATGTTTTATTTTATCAACATAAGTGTTTAGCTCATTCTGATATTAATAAATGCAACACCTTACAAAAAATGTGGGACAGGGACAATGTAAAAATATTGTAAAATTTTCAAAAAACATTTTAAACATTCTTGGATATAAATGAAGCATCCAGTAAAAGTCAAGTGCTTTATGAGCAAGGATGAGTTGAGGCTTGCCACTTTGCCAAAATGCATCAGCAAGAAATCCAACAT